GGAGGGCAGAGCTGCCGGAGGCCCCGTGGGGCGCTCGGGAGACACGCGTGTCCCTGCCCCCCGTAATGCTGCACGGCGGCACGGCCCAGCGCTTCAGCAGCCTCGCCGCCCCAGGAGGGCGTAGAGAAACCTGGATGGTAGAGGCTGCAGCCCCGCGGTGCACGCCGGTGGCGGGAGCGCGCCCAGCAGTGAGAAAAGGGGGCGGTAGCCAAAGCTGTACCTCGTACCTTCGCACAACACCCACCCAAAATGGCAACAGGCCCTCTGGCATGCTCCTCGTTGCTATCCCACGGCCTAGATTTTAGCAAGACGCCAGTTCTCTCTGGGGACACACGAATCCAGAAGCCGCTCTGTGCAGTGGCTGTGATGATGGCTCCCGGCCCGGGGTCGCCGGGACAGCGTCCCCCACCCACTTCCCCTACGCTTCAAAAGCAACGGTGTTTTGTCAAGGGCCAAGGGCTTAAATGCAGTAAAAACCCCATCGCAGGCATTACTGCTGTTTCAGCCATGCTAAATGATTTAGGAGTATAGCATACAAGGCCTTGACTGAGCTCAGCCAGTTGCAGCAGTTTACACAACTTTGGGGGGTGAAAACAACAAAATTTGCTATCACCAAAGCAGCAGTGTTTCAACTTTGCATTGTTCATGCCAATTTTAAAAGTAAATGTAAATTTCACTAACACTCTCAGCCTGCTCTTTAGGGCATGTGATTCTAAGTTTGCTAATCTCGCAAGTCTCAGAAAATACATGCTTTCCTAAAACATTGTGGAAAAGTGATAGAAAAGGTTTTTTCCTCCAGGACCAATGGGAGGCTAACCTTAAGCACTCCAAATGATTTATGCACTGTATCCCTATCTGTGCCTTCTCATTTCAAAGCCATCTTCCCCTTCAGCACTCAACAGACTCAGTTTGCAAACCCCATTTTATTGAGATAACTGCTTGGTCCACTAATCCAAGGTTTACCAGTCAGGTATGTCTGGTCTAGATGTACAGATAAAGCTTCACTTTCCTAGAGAACGGGCTTTAGAATAACTGCCTTTTCTAAGTGATGAATGCAAAAATCAGAGTTTCTACGAAAATATAATTTTACACATAGCATGTGTGTTACATAAGCAAGTTACAAGTATAGGAATAGGAAAGTAACTTTGAAGAGAGTTGGACAGAAATAAACAGATTCAAAACAGTGAAAAATACAAGTCCTGGGTATGATATTAAGAGTGCATCCCCAGAATAAATCCTCTGAAGTCCATGTTATAGCAGTGCCAAACTGATTTAAAACCAACATCTTTTGCTTTTATCAGAGAGAAACATCCGGCCAATGGCTTTTTCTACCTGATACCTCTTATCCCCATGCCTAATATTCCTTACCTCCTCCAGACCCCTTTCTGTCAATCATGCAAAGGTAAAAAGTCTGAAGGCTGCAGCGTCAATACAGAAATAAAGCTGAACCCAAACTGTGCATGGGATACAGCTTATCAGAGCAGCAGTCCTTCAGCTTCAGTGACAGCAATCCCAGCAATTCTATCTTTGCTATCGCAGAGGGGAGCTGCATATAGGAACCCAAGAACAGAGCACTGCTATCAGTTCTGTCTCAGGGGATGTCTTCTTTTGTCCTAGCTTACATGTGATGTTAACATGGGTGAAAGGTACATGACTGCCAGCCCCAAAAAGCAAGCCTTTTGTCTTGCTCCTTCTTAAATAGAGCCCATTGTTGCTCTGGAGAGCATGTACCTGAACTGATCTAAGAATAAGCATAGGCTGTCTCCTGTATCAGCTAACAACTATTTTCTTCATAGGAAAACCAGATAGCTATGAGCAAGGCTGGATTGAAGCCTTATCCATTAGAAGCTCTGATCATATTAACAGCCACCTGTGTCTTCAGTGCTCCAAAACCAAACTGCTCATCTTTGAGTAGCAGAGAGGGATATGGAACTGGCAACTACAGACCTTGAAAACTGTCTTAATTTTCTCCATAAATTCTAGCCTGGGTGCATGGCTCTTGCTAAAATAAAATTGATGAGTAAAACCTGAAGAAGCACACACTTGAGAAAAATTTGCAATTCAAATACAATTGATTTCAGTATAACAACCCCATGCTCTCTTTACCAACCCACTAGAGATCATGCAACAGAGAAACTATTTCCAGGGAGGAAGAAAATCTTTGTTTCTTTTCCAGAAGAGCTGTATTCCCCACCCGCAGCCCACTGATGAGCTTGTTCATTGATGAACTTTCCTACTGCTGTCTGTAAGGAGAAAGTCACCATAACAAATTGTCCAGAACAGGAGGCATGTTGTGTTGTGCCAATGTGGCACAGAGCCACATAAGAGCCTTGAGCTACTTCCTGGACAGTGAAGTAGTGAGAAAATAAATAGTATTGTTGCTGTGTATTAAAGCTGGCAAAAATATAAAACCCAGTAGGAACTAGTTGGATTTCCATAGTAAAATAAAGTTATGAGCCCAGTGTTGTGTTAACAGGAGACGATACAAAACATCTCAGCATCCACTAGAAAATGAGTAAAACAGTATAACGCGTGCAGAAATATACAGAAAGCACTTGCACTAGTATAAAAATATCCACAGTCCTCAAACAAATGTAAACTGGTACAAAATAATTCCAAGAACAGGAACATGTTTACAAAAGCACATGTTAATATAAAACAGTAAAACCAGGTTCACCCGTTCCCAGCCTCATGCACAGCATAGACACACAGGTAGTCCACGGGAGGGCCACATGTACCGAGAATGAGCAGAGCCTTGACTTGCCATTTGACCTTCTACGTCAACAGTGTCTGCTGCACATCACAGCCAGCTTTCTGGAAGTACAGCTGACCAGCAGCAGAAGGGCAGAGACAGGCAACAGAGAAACAAACAACCCCCCCCCCCAAAAAAAAAAAAAAAAAACCAAACCCAAAGACCCACCCTGAGGGATTTTAGGACTTGTTCTTTCCCAACTGGTCATTTATTTCCCGATCCTTCAGGCACCCCAGGAGCAGGCATACCAGGGAACTGGTGGTGTAACTGATGGCGTTTATCATACTGGTGTGGATAAGTGGTGGCCCTGGCAGCAAGTGGACAGCAGCACAGAGTGATGCCTGTGCACAGGAGGTGACAAACTGTCTGTCTTGCTGAAAGAGGAGAGGGCAGGAGCGCGGGGAAAGAGGCTCAACAAGGAGAGGGGTTAGAAGTACCTCAGGGAAGCAGCTGATTCTAGCTCCCCCACAAATGAAATTCTTCAGCAAATAAGCAAGCACCAAGATCCCACGGTCCCCATGGCAACAAAGCAAACCCAGAGGGCCTCAGAAGTGAGTACAGCTTTGGAGAGCAAATGGGATAAGCAGGGCTAGGAAATGGAAGCCTGAGTTTGAGAGAAAGGGAGCTTTGCCAAGCTGGTGATCTTTGTTTTAGACCACGCGTAAAACCTCCAGATGACACTTCCCTCCCAAGGTCAGATTTCTATACTGTCATTCTGGAATGTCCAGAAAGTTCACTCTGCTCCTGCAGCACGTGTAAGTCCAGGACCAAAGTTCATCAAACCTTCAGCTCGCATAATCTAGCGGCTTCTTCCAACTCATGAAGGCAAAGCTTCACATTTTTGCCATCAGTGCAGATTTATGTAATACCATGTACAAGAAATCAGACTTGAAATGCCCAGATCACAGTCTGCAGCACATATTGCAGGAATGGAGGAGCAGGGGAAGGGAGCAATGCATCATTAAGGCCTTCAGGGTTTAGTTGACAGGACAAAGCAAGGTGTTTCTTTCCCACAGACCTGTCATTTCAGTCTCAGAACACTGTCTGCATTTGGCCATGGAGAGTCAGATGCCAGGCGTCCATGCACACAACATGCATTACCCGTTGTTTGCAGAGAAGCCCTCTTTTTTGGCAGCTTGAATTGGACTCCTTCCAGCATACATGCTTTTTGGTCATTCTTTGAGCTCAGCAGCCAGTTACAGGTTTCCATAGTGACAAGACTTAAAAGCTTGATTAATTCTCCCCATGGTCTTCTTCCACCCAGGCCACAATTTTCCCCTCCCAACCAGGAATGATGTCATCATCATGGAATACCTACAAAAAAGGGAGTCCAGTCATGCCTGGAGTCTGGACACGACTCTTCTACAGTGTGAGTAGCATAAACAGCAGGCATCAAGTCAGACATCCTAGCTCAGATTTCACTACACAGCCCAGACAACATGTACCTCATCCATCATTCGCATATCTGAGTAATCTTTTCAGGTTTTAGGTAAAAAAAACAGATTAGGCCCCTTCTTTAACCAGTAACCATAAAGATTATTATGGCATGTTTTTGACAGGAAAGGTAAAATAACAATAGGAAACATGCCTTTTCTGATCCAGACTACAGTCTCCAGCTGTTTCTGCAGAATGGCTAGCTAGTCAGCTGACTGTTCCCAGAGAGGGTAACCCTTTGTACTTGTCTTAGTTTGTGAAACAGGAGCCATCCCAATAACCTTTAATGAATCCAATCCACACCAATATAAACATAAAAAGGGCTGTAATGCAGTACACAAAGGAAAAGATGCCACAAACACAG